GCCTGTGGCAGCTGACAGTCCACTCTGTGCCCAGCCAGGGGCTAGGCTCTAGGGGTACAGAGATGGCATCTGCCATAATCCACGCCCCAGTGGACAAGACAAGCTAGGAAACGAGCAAGTCCATATCAGGATAGGAGGAGCTTGAGGCTTGACTGATTCAGCACTGACTTCAGTGGGGTGAGGACAGGTGGGGGCAGGTGTCGAGATTTCAGGAAGAATCTCTAGCAGCCCAGAAAGCCAGGTTCCATAGAAGGCAGTCAGCTGTGGCAGTGGAGGGGAGAAGGAGTCTGGGTTCCAGACCCATCAGGTGATGGGGTCTCCGTCTCCCCCTGCTCCTGCCTCCCACCGCTGCAGAGTCCCTGGCACCTGGAGAGTCTGCCACTGTTGTCATGGGCATTAATTTCTGTGACTCAACCCAGGCGGCCAACTTCCAGCTATGGTATGTGTCCCGCTTGTAGAGGAGCGGGAGGGCAGCTGGGGAGAGGAGGGGTCAAAATAAACTGGGACTGGAGGTGGTGTTAGGTGGGGAGGCATCATGATCTGGAAGGCATCCCAGGACCTCAGGCCTTACCTCCAAACACAGTGCTAGGTGAGGGGAGAGAAGCTGGCCTGACTCCCTCTCTCTGTCTCCTCCTGCCTTCCCAGCACCCAAACCCGACAGTTCTATGTCTCCATTCAGCCACCCGTTGGGGAGCTGATGGCCCCCGTGTTCCTGAGTGAGAATGAGTTCAAGAAAGAACAGGGTGAGTGCTCCCTGGGGGTGGGTGGGACGGGTGCTCAGGACCCTCCGCTGGGGCTTATTCAGCTGCACTGTACAGGCACGCTGTGGGAGCCTCAGGCTGCACACAGAGGGAGGCCTCGCCCCTTGTGACTCCAGCAGAGGCTTCCCAGACCCTCGGACACTTCAGTGAGACTTGGAGAGAGCTGAGATGCAGCCAGGCAGAAGATTCTAGGCCAGGATTCCAGCTGGGGGAAGCATTATGAGTAGGCGTTAGTGAAAATTTACAGGAAGCAAGCAGGGGTGTAGTTTGCCTTGGGGCCTAGGGATCCTTAGCACTGGCGAGTAGGGAAAACAAAGATGAAAATATGTTCTGTCTAGTTTCTGGAAGCCTTGAATGCTGTGCTAAAAGATTTCCGTCCTACAATTTCAGAGCTGAAAGGGGTCACAGAGGTTATTTGGTACCAACTCCATTAATAGAAGGTTGAGGAGTGCAGATTTCATTTTTCTAGCAGTAGAGGAATTACTGAAGTTTTTTGAGCAAAGAAGGGGCCAAGTTCAGTCTTGGGCTTCAGAAAGTGAAATCTGGCAACATTTACAGTTAGGACTGGAATTGACAGAATGTGCAGCAGGAAAAATAGGCAGAACAGTATAAGTGGAAGGAATCATGGGGCTTTGTGAGTCCTGGATTTAAGTTCTGAACCTGCCACCTGCTTGGTATGTCACCTTGGACTAAATTCTGTGACTAGTTATAAGGCTATTGATGTAAATTTGATGAGAGATAGTGAGGACCAGGATTAGAGCCACAGCAAAAAGGATGAAAGGCTGAGGTAGGGGAGAGGGACTCCATGGGCATTTGCTGAATGAAAGAGGAGACAGAGACGTGGAAGCTGTCTCTAGAATATCTGGCTTAGAGAGCGGGGAGAATGGCAGTGCTGTTTACCTAGACCAGGGTTTGGCCAGCTTTTTCTGAAATGGGCCATAAAATAAATATTTTATTTATGTTAAGCATTTTAACATTTATTTATTTGGCTGTGCTGGGTCTTAGTTGTAACATGCAGGATTTTTAGTTGCGGCATGTGAACTCTTGACTGTGGCATGTGGGATCCGGTTCCCCGACCAGGGGTTGAACCTGGGCACCCTGCATTGGGAGTGTGAAGTCTTAGCCACTGGACCACCAGGGAAGTCCCAGCAAACATTTTAGGCTTTCTGGGTCATGTGGTCTCTGCTGCAATTTGCCTTTGTAACCCAGGAACAGTCATGGACGATACATACATGAATGAGTGTGGCTGTATTCCAATAAAACTATCTATGGACACAGACTTGAATTTCATATACTTTACATGTGTCATGAAATAGCTAGCCTTGATTTTTTTCCCCCAATACTTAAAAATTATTAAAAAAAAAAAAAAAAAAAAACCACATTGTGGACTGTGCAGGTGGTATGTTGTATTTGGCCTTCAGGCTATAATTTGCCAAACCCCTAATCTAGAATAAACAAGGATGAATCAGGCAAGGGAGAGGGGAAGATCTTGGATAGTTTTGGATGAGCTACTTTTTGAAATATACATGGGAAATTCAGGAGGAGGTGTTTCATACACAACTGAAAAATGTGGGTCTGTGCCCAGGAAACACTTCTAGGCTGGAGTCAGGAGCATAGAGGTGATAACTGAAGCTGTGACTATAAGTAAGATCACCCTGAGGGAGAGATGAATGGGGAGATAAGGAGGCCACAGACCTTTCTTGAGGAAAACTTGCATCCTTCAGGAGAAAAAGGAAGGGAGGGGAAAGAGAAGGAACAGAGTGTAGGTAGGAGGAGAGATGAGGAGGTAGAAATGTGTCTTGGGTAGCCTGCAGGCCAAGATGACCAAAGACCTTCAGGTCCAACAGATAGGAAACTGCTGCCAACATCAGAGAGAGCGGGTTATTGCCAAAGGGGAGACCGAGGCCAACTGCAGTGGGTTTAGAGAGAGCGGGGCTTGAGGAAGTGAATCCTCTTTGGAGGACCTTGGAGGTCAACAGTGAAGGGGCAACAGTATTGGCATCATGGCATGTCTGGCTTCTAGGGAGGACTTAAGAATGGGGAGACTTGATAAGGAGAGACTAAAAGTACAGGACAAGAAAATGTCACTAGTTAGGAATGGAGGGGATGAAAGAAACAGGAAGGGTGTGTCTGTTCTCCAAAGGAGAACAATGGAGGGAGCAGCAAAGGGAGGAGAGAGGCTGGGGGGGAAGGTGGGCAGGAGGACAGATGGAGGAGCTCATGTGCTGGGGAGAGCAAAGGAGTGCAGAGCAGATGTCAGCCCTGAAGAGTGAGGGTTTCTGGGGATGCTGTGAAGGCCTGGGCATGTCACAAGCCTGGGCCATGTTTGGAGCTATTGTCCTGTGTGAAATCAGGGGTCCACCCATGAGGCTGCTTGTGACCCCTGGACTCTGGCCTGTCTGGTGAGGACCCACAGCAGCTACCAGTGACCTCTCTGCGAGAAGTCAGCCTCCAGGAGCTGGGGGAAAGTTGAACTTGGGTTGGAGGGCCAACCAGGAAGGACCAAAAGATGTGGGGACCAGGCAGAGGAAACTTCTGAGAACTGACTGGCCTCCAAAACCACCGGCCACTCCCAAGGGGCTGGTAGCCCATATGTCTGACAGTGGGAAAGCACCAAGTCAGTCTCTGGTTGGCAGTATGGACAGACCCTGGGGTGGGGCGGGGAGAAGCTGACAAAATCTCTGTGGGGAAGGACACGGCCCGAGAGGAAAGCAGCCCCTCCCCAAGACTGGTGAGGGAGACCTGCGTAGACCCTGGTGAGAATGCCCAGTGGGCAGACCCAGGGGCACCCACCATGGCCTTCACCCTCACCATGACCTCCGCCTACAGCAAAGCTGACGGGCATGAATGAGATCACAGAGAAGCTCACGCTGCCAGACACCTGTCGGAGTGACCACGTTGTGGTGCAGAAAGTGACGGCCACAGCCAACCTGGGTCGTGTCCCTTGCGGGACATCTGACGAATACAGGTACTGACTGCCAGCAAGGGGGATGAGATGGGCTCTTGGGCCTGATTGGAAGGAGGGGCCCCGGGCCCTAGTGTTGAGCCCATTCCTCCACCCCTACCCCAGGTTTGCAGGGAGGACGCTGACCAGTGGGAGCCTGGTCCTGCTGACGCTGGATGCCCGGCCCACTGGAACTGCCCAGCTGACGGTCAACAGCGAGAAGATGGTGATTGGCACCATGCTGGTGAAGGACGTGGTACAGGCCCTGACCCAGTGATACCAAGGGCTGTGACCTGTGTGACCCCTTCTTGTCCCTCCCTCGTGACATGTAGGCTATTAGCCTCTCTCTCTCGCTCTCTCCTCATCCCATGTAGCATCCAGGGGGGTCCTCTCTCTCTCTGGTCATTGCCAGGCTCCCTTCTGGTCCCCCCACTCCAAGGTTCCTTAGTGATCTGTGCAGAGGGATTCCATTCAGCCTTCCCAGCTTGGTGTGGCTATTTATGTGGCAAAAGCTCAATAAAATATCTTCTCCCTAGAGGCTGGCTCACCTTCCCTTTCTTCTGGGTTCTACCTAAGGGGGTGGACTGGGGGGAGGGGCAAGCTCCCAAGATTGACAGTTTGACCCTTGTGAATGACTGCTACTGGCCTTCTAGGTTGGAACCCCAAGATGACTGTCTTCAAGTCTCCACGTGTCTCTATGGAAGAGACACCTGATCAGGATGGGGATGCCAAGCTGGAGGAACTCCTTGGTCCTCTGCAAGCCTTGGCAAAGATTCCTCTTCAACGTCTGGCCATCCCTTTTGGTTCCCCTCATGGGCCCTGGAGAAGGAGAACTCATAACGTGGGGAATTCCCAAACATAGGTGCAAGGTTCAAAGTATGGCAACTGCATCTTGATGGGCCTAGAGCCCCCACTTTGCTGGGGAGATGACCCAAGGGGCCATCTTGGAGAGGGAAAAACAGGAGATGTAGAAAAGTGCTTCATCAGATAACCTGGGTGTCTTGTTAACGTACAGATTCAGATCTGTGGGTCTGGAGTGGGGCCTGAGAGTCTGCAATCCTCATGAGATCCCAGCAACCATGGCTGCTGCCCCACACACACACTAGAGGAGTAAGGTATAGAGCCCCCACCCTGGGACAAGCCTTCCGGGGGGTGGCCGTGGGGGTCAGGGCCCTTTCCTGGTGCGGAAAGAGCCTGAGCAGGCAGTGGTTCCTAAATGGACAAAAGGGTTTCCATAAGCGTATGTTCTGCCAAAAACAAATAGAAAGCTTGTAATCAAATAAGTTTAGGAATCACAGATTGAAACACAGTAAGGTAATTTCCCACAGGCCTTCTCAGAGCCTTTACTATGCTAATGTGCGTTGTGACCCCCATTTGCTCTTGACCTCAGGATGCATTTGTCCCAGGACCCTTTGATGGACTGTGTTACAAGAGAAACACTCCGGTGACAGCTGGAGATGTAGGACATCAGCCCCGATCCTCCATAACCAAGACTTCAGTCCTTTGACCACCCCACCCCCCAGCCCTGTCAGGGAAGAGGCCCTGAGCAGGTCTGTTTAGGGACAGACAGGGTGGAGCCGGTGCGGCCCTCTTCTCAGGGAAGGAGAACAAAGGCTGTGTCAGGGGACAGCCCTGCCCCCACCTCCGGGGAATTGCCGGGCTCTGGCACCAGAGGGCAGCTGGGGCTGCTACCTGTGTGAGAGCCTTGGGGCCCCAGAGTCCCCCTGAGATCACTCTTTTTGTCACTGCAGGTTCTGAGAGGGGACTGATCCACCATTCAGGGGTCACTCAAATGGTGGACTGGTTCCTGCTGTGTCTCTAAATCAGCACTGCCCGCAACAGGAGAAAGAACGTGGGGGCGGTTTTTTAAGAAATCAGAACAAGGACGGTCCGAGAATCCCCTCGCAGGCCCCTGCGTGGGTTCTGTAGGAACCAGAAGCACAGAAGGCATGTCCTCTGCCATCCCCCATGGAGCCCACAGCCCAGGTTCCCAGAGCCTTGTGGAAAGGGAACCTGGGTCTCCAGCCCCTAAGTGAGAGCCCAGAGCCCAGGAATCTTAGTTACAGCCCTGTGCTGGTTCCTCTGGAGCAAGTCCCAGGCTATGGGGTTAGCAGCAGCAACCCTTCTTGAGAAGATGGTTCTCGTGCGTGAGACAGTCTCAGGGGAGAGGCAGGAGAGCTGGGCATGAGCAGAGAGAGTCTGGGTCTGCAGCTGGTGAGGAGGAGGAGCCCAGCTGGGAAGGCTGGCACTGAGGAAGCAGGCAGAAGAAGCAGTCTCCTACCCTTCAAGGAAAGCAAAAGGGCCCCATTCTGTTCTAGGGGATGGTCTGCAGGGAGAAAATGTCAGTCAGACGGGAAGGGTGTTGGGCTGCCCCACCCTCAGCCCAGCCTGTGTTTTCTAAAACCCCTAGGTCAACGGCCGAACCTCCCATGGCCCTGCCACGTGGGCATCCCTGAGTGAGGGATGGGCCTCCCTGGTGGACACAAATCAGACACGTCGGACCTGGAAGGGGCTCTCTTCTCCCCAGAACATCCTTATTTATCCCTGTCATATCCTGTATCATGTCACTGATTCAAGTCTTTGCCACTGTGGCCACAGGCTTCCTGGATCTCATGTATCCTGTGACAGCGCTGAGGGGCAGCCAGAGAGCTGGGCCCAGGACTAGGGGGTTCACATGGGGCCCGGGATGACAGAGAAGCCTAGGAAGGGCTCTGTTGGAACTCAGGGAAGACTGGGGTGGGGGCGGAAATGGACAGAAGCCCAGGGATTGGCACCGAGGCAGAAGGTTTCCCCGGTGAGGGTCAGGTAGAGCATTAGTGAGGACCAGAAGGTCTGAGTGTGGTCTGAGCCAGACCACAGGCCTTGACAGGACAATGAACTCCTTGAGGAGTTGAGAATGGGAACCCACTCCAGGATGGCTTCAAAGTAGTACCCTGGCAAACGGGTACAAGGAATGGGTGCGGTTTCTGGCCAGGCGGCTGTAGCTGGCTAGCCACAATGTCTGGGGGACAGATCCATCTAGGGACCCTAAGGCAGTGTCTGCAGCAAGGGTCCCAGAGTGGAGGGTGGGGGGAGGGTGCTAGCTGTGCCCAGGTCTGCACTTACCCCGCCCCAGCCCTTAGGCTAATTCAGCACCTTTTCTTGGGCATCTTGTGAGTCACCTCTTTGGCAGAGTCTTCAGATCAAAGGGAGGGGATGTTGGGTCTGTAACTCACTGTGCCAGGATTTCCCCTGGCTTTACTGGGCAAAAGAGACTTCTGACCCCCCACCCCCCACGCCAAGGCCTGGCTCCTGAATAGCCAGGATCCTCACTACTAGTTTCTTTTTTAAAATACTTATTTGGCTGTGTCAGGTCATAGTTGTGGCACGTGGGATTTTCTGTTGCCACACACAGGCTCACTAGATGCCACCTGGCTTCTCTGGTTGTGGCACATGCAGGGGTTTAGTTGCTCCATGGCATGTGGAGTGCTGGTTCCCCGACCAGGGATCAAATCCATGTCCCCTGCATTGCAAGGCAGATTCTTTACCACTGGACCACCAGGGAAGTCCCCCTCACCATCAATTTCTTCCCCGCCTCCCCAGGGAGGGGGAGGGACTTTCAGGTCCCTCTCCGTCACTCCCACTTCTACTGTGGCTACACGTGAAGCGGGGTGGGGGCGGGGAAAGGCCCGCCTCAGGTCCTTCNTTCCCCGCCTCCCCAGGGAGGGGGAGGGACTTTCAGGTCCCTCTCCGTCACTCCCACTTCTACTGTGGCTACACGTGAAGCGGGGTGGGGGCGGGGAAAGGCCCGCCTCAGGTCCTTCCTTCCTCGTCAAGCATCTGAGCAGCCAACAAGGGCTTGGCACTGTGGTGGCAAAGAGACTGTGGGCTGATAACCACCCAGGACTGTGGTGTGCACCATGGAGGGACTGCTCAGCCCAGTAGGTCCTGTCTCATGACGCCAGCCTGCAACTTGCTGCAGAGCCTGCTGGACTGGGAGAGTCCCAGCTCAGGGGTGGGCCAGGAGAGCTGCTGGGGAGGGTGCGCATGGACCGCGTCTTCAAGGAGCTGAGCTGGTCTCCCTTCTGCGATGGCCCGGTCAGTGCTGTCTCCCAGGGCCAAGAGAAGGATGGTGAGCCAGTGCCTGGAAGGGTGGGGCTCAGGACAGGGGTTAGAAATGTGCACCTTCCTAGATCTTCTACCTGATGGTGCTGGGTTGAACCTGTTTGCTTCTACCCCGTTGTCTCCCCTCTGCCCCATCCCACTAACCTGTCTACTAAGAAAGAGCACTTGGGGCCTGCGTTGTTAATCCTGACCACTGGGAACCCCACCCTGATGGCCCCATGACTACTGAGGATGCTTGGGGGGTCTCTGGGCCTCGGCACGCTGTGGAGGAAGGTGAGCGATGTTGGGGGTTACTTACCTGAGTGGCACCTTCACCCTGAATGTCACTTCTTATCTGCTGCCAAGGACTCCCTAACTTTAGTCCCTTTTCAGATCTGCCCATGAGTCTGCCTGAGTGGTACTTCCCAGTGGTACCTGGAGAATAAAGTTGCTAACAGCTCAGTAAAATGCTTCTGTCTGGGATCTTCCCAGACATGTGCCCCTGTCTTTGGGACTATTAAAAAAAAAACACAAACAACTTTATTTGTAGACTGAGTAATCTGTGTAATTAGTATTCAGATCAAGAAACAGATAGCAGCATTGATATTTCAGTCAGAGATCAATCACAGAGCTCTGAAACTGTTCTACCCCAGTCTGCAAGTGGCAGTGGGATCCCAGAAGGCCGGCATAGACTTGTGTCTGGTAGTGCCAACATGATGCCATATGCCGCTCTCTGGGGTCCCTGTGGCAGGGGATGAGGTGTGTGGAAATAAGTGGAGGTTGTCTTGTTGTGGCTGAGGGAGAATGTGAGAAAACAGTTCTGAAAAAGGAACTCTTGGGCAAGGTGACCTTGATGGAGGTCTTGATGTGCCAGGACCCCAGTATTTGCACCTGCAGAGGGAAGGCAGGGAGAAGGTAAGGCATAGTCCTTCTCACTTGGACCAAGGCCAGACGGAGACCCTGCGCTCCAGGAAACCCCTCAACTTCAGTATCCTCAGCTATAAAATGAAGGGGAGGGCCTCTCAGATTCCCGTCTCTCCTTTCGTTGAGACCCGAGGCATCCCCTCACCCCTTTACAAGCATCTCAGGACAACCAGCGCTCTCCTTCCACTGTGACTGAGGAGTGAGCCAACCTCTGGTGATCTCTGCTTCCTGGCATTTGCCCCCTGGAGTCATCCCCTCCTGCATCTCATCACTGTTGGTGTGTGTAAACAACAGAATACTGTAGAAGCTGTAGAGTCTGTTATTTTGGAAATGAGCTTATGACACTCCCCTCACCTCCATCTTAGCAGTCCCCTGGAGCAGTCCCTGTAAGGAGGAACTGAGTGAGTCTGGGGTGGGTGGAGTTGGGAGGCAGATCCGGCTCCAGGCAAAGCTTCAAATGACTGCAGTTCTGGCTGAGAGCTTGACTGCAACCTCAGGAGACAGCCTGAGCCAGAAACACCCAGCTAA